CCCATACCGATGCATATACATCCATACAAGTAGAACTTAACTTTTATAGTTAATTCAACTTATTCCAAAATATGTAGGAGTTAGTATTTTAACTAATCCGTCCCTAATATGCCACCGTCCCATACCGGTGCGTACAACCCTCCAAATAGCATAGTTTACAAATAACACAATGTATTCAACAACCATTCTCCAAAATATGCATCATTATAATCTAAATACATATATATCAATATTAGGCATTCATTATAAAGCCTAACTATAACATTCCAATAATGTAAACTGCCAAAGTAATCTAAGCATTCACATTCCTCAACTTGTACATAAATCGATGCAGTTCCATAGCAGGGTGTATATAAATTTGGTCCAACATAAATATAGTTAAACATGGGTGTAACTAAGTCATGCCTCCACTGAAAGACTTAGAACCCAAGGTTCAATCCATTAAATTGATATAACAGGTTTATGCAACTTCCTTCTCCAAACAGTACTATAATTGTGCATATATGTACTGAATTAAGCATCAGACTATTCCAAACACACATACACATAATTGAATAATAACCTGCTTATAACAGAGCTGCCAACCATGCTTCAAAACCTAAGAACATGTAAAGAAATCAAATCTCTTCCAGACAGTGTTGTAGCAAATGAGATATATAATAGATTTAAGCTATCAGTCAATCCCAACCAAGCATACATGTATTTAAATAACATAATGTTCATAACTCAACTACAGATCATAATTCAAAACTTAAGACCATGCAAAGAAAACAAATTGCACATCAGTCTGCAACACAAGCCAGTTGCTCCCTTAACCACATTTAGACGTTTGATCAAACTAATGTTAATTCTGTCCTAGATTAAGAATGTAAGCTTGGTTCTTAATTATTTTATACATCATAAGCAGTGTATTACCTCACTCAACAGCCTTTAATCCATTCCAGAAACCCAGACTCAACCAAACAAAACATAATATTTCAGTTTTACGCACCTTTAAGAGAAAGAGAAGGCTCTAAGTTTCACAGAGCCTTCTCCACTTTAGGAGAGCCGGCTCCCCTTCCTTGGGAGCCGGCTCTAGATGGGTGGGAGCCGGCTCTCACCCCTAGAGAGCCGGCTCTAGTGTTTTGGGAGCAGGCTCCCTCTATTTTTGGAGCCTGCTCTCACCCCTAAGAGCCCTGGCTTGTTCTGCATCTGTCATCTTCGACTCCGGCGGTTACAGTCTTTAAAAATAGTTTTATTACAGATTTTAAAGTCCTATCCTCATCCTAGATAAATCACCAGACAGAGTTATACCCCTTTTAGTTGAATAACAGATCAAAGTTTGAAACAACGGCAACCATACAAAAGACTGAACTTGTAGTCGACTGAGAAACAGATCCAATTCCATCATGCTAGAAACTTATTTAACATGTTTAATTTCAGTTTTTAAGATCCCACTCACATCCCAGAGTAACCACAAGACAGAGTTATACAAACAAGAACGGAACTAAACATCAATTTGTAAAGCGTTGACAATAAGATTTTAAGCTGAACGTGTAAAACTATGAAAACAGCTTATATTCAATGATGTTTAATACTGTTACAACATGTATAAACGATGTCATTAAGTCTTACTTTAATTCCTGGAGTGTAACTAAGCATGCACAGAACACAAATTCCTGGGAAAGAGAATATCAGAAACTTGCCTTTGAATTTCAGATTTGAAATTCTAATTCACCGTCTCTGTAATATGTTTGGTTCCTAAACTGCAAGTCTGCTCCTCCAGTGCCTTGGTTCAACCCAAAAACACCTCTCCTTCCTCCTTCTTGGTCCAAACTTAATCCAGACCAAAACCTAGACCTCCTCTCTTTATCTTCCTCTGTGTCTCTCAATATCTCACTGTATCTTTGTTCTACAGAAAACCTACGTTTTGTTTTTGTATTGTTTTAAACCCTAATCCACTGTAATATACATATATATAGGTTTAGACATTAAACCCTAATCCATTTATAACCCGGCCCATATGTAAACCTAGGTTACAAATCAATGACGGCTGCCTATGAAAATCATAAACCCAATGAAAAGCTATATAACAGTCACGTTGAGAACATACTAAATCAACTATCACAAAATTAATCCAATTAAAATAATTAAATAAAACAATTAACTCAAACAAATTATTCAAGTAAATAATTAAAATAAATTTAAGTAAATCATTTATTTAAAAATAAATACACACTTAATCAATTAAACAACCAAAACATATAGCTCGCATATTAAAAATGCAATAAAACTCAAAATTATCAAAATTAAATTCACATTCTATCCTTTTGGAAACTAGGGGTATTACACAGAACATACTTATTTTGTGACCTGGTGGTAGGTAATGGGCCAACCACATCCATCCGCCATTGCGCGAAAGGCCATGGTTTGGCAATTACGTGCAAGTCCTCTAGTGGTTAGTGGATCAGGGGTCCGTATCGTTGGCACTTATCGCATCTTCTCGAAAATTCCTCCGCGCCCTGTGACATGTTCGGCCAAAAGTACCCTTGTGTCATTGCTTTGTGTGCTAGGGATCTCCCCCCTGAATGATTGCCATACACACCTTCATGAATGGTCCGCAATATTTGCTGAGCTTCTGATGGGGTTACACACTTTAGATAAGGTCCTAAATAAGACCTCATGTAAAACTGATCGTGTACCACGGCATATTTCGCAGCATTCGATCTGATCCTCCTTGCTTGGTCCCTTCGTTCAGGCAAAACACCATCTCGTATATATGCCATAATTGGATCTATCCAGCTTGGCTCATATGGTATGACGTTTACCTGCCATGAGTCCGAGCTTGACGACTCTTCCGAGATAGATGGCTGGCATAGCACACCAACTGGAATCACCCTTGCCAATGTCTCACCAAATGGTCGGCATCTTCATTGTGCTCCTGCGGCACTTGAGTGAACTTGATCTGATCGAAATTACTGGCCTCATGCATAACGGCTGAATGGTATACTTCCATAGTTTCATCTTTAGTACCATACTCCTCAGTCACTTGTCGAATGATCAGCTGTGAGTCACTGAAGGCGACTAAGTTTTTGACTTTTAGTTCCATGGCCAACCTTTAACCAGCCAATAGCGCTTCATACTCTGTTTTATTGTTAGTTGCCCTAAACTCAAGCTTGATTGCTTGGCTCAGTGTAGTGCCCTCTGGTGTTTGCAGTTTGACCCCGATTCCTACCCCCATTTGATTTGAGGAGCCATCAACGAAGAGCTTCCATGAAGATTCTTCCAAACATGCATCTGCTCTTCCACATCACACTCCAGTAAAAAATCAGCCACCGCTTGCCCTTTAATGGCCGTTAAGGGTTCATACGTGATAGCAAAAGAGCTTAACTCTATCGCCCACTTCATCATTCGTTCGGATAGATCGAGCTTATGCAGAATCACCCTTATGGGGAATGTGGTCAGAACGACTATTGGATGGGATTCAAAATAGTGCCTGAGCTTCCTTTTTGCGTTCACTAAGGACAAGATCACTCGTTCGGCCTTTGAATATCTTCTTTCTGGCTCGGCCAATGTTTTGCTTACATAAAAGACTGGGAACTGCTTACCCTCAGCACACCGGATCAGAACACCGCTGGTTGCAACGCTAGACATTCTGAAGTATAAGAAAAGTTTTTCACCTGGCTCTAGGGCATTCAAGATTGGTGGGTTCCGCATATATTCTTTCAGATTGGTCAGTGCCTGCCTCTGTTCATTCCTCCAGGACTGCTTTCCGTGACCTCTGATTATATCAAAGAATGGTTTACACCGATCAGATAACTTGGAAATAAATCGACTCAATGCCGCTATGCGTCCGGTAAGAGCCTGAACTTCCATAATAGTGCACGGTTCTGTATTTTTAAGCAGAGCTTCCGCTTAAGTTGGGCTGACCTCAATCCCTCTGTTGTTAACCACGTGGCCAAGGAACTGCCCTGATCCCACGCCGAACGAGCACTTTGTCGGATTTAATCTTATTCCATACCTTCTTAATACATTGAACACTTCTCGTAAATGCTTCAAATGTTGTCCCTTCTGCTTGCTCTTTATCACTATATCGTCGATGTAAGCCTCCACTGTTTTGCCCATTTGATCCTTAAAAATTTTGCTAACCAACCTTTGGTACTTAGCTTCAGCATTTTTCAATCCGAATGGCATGACCTTGTAACAATAGATCCCTCGTTCGGTGATAAAAGAAGTCTTTTCTTCATCGTTCGGATCCATAGGAATTTGATTATAGCCTGAATAAGCATCAAGAAAAGTTAACCGCTCATACCCTGTTGTAGCGCCCACCATTTGATCAATCTTCGGAAGTAGAAAGCTATCATTCGGGCAGGCCTTATTCAGATTGGTGAAGTCAATACAAACTTTCCATTTTCCATTCTTCTTCTGTACTACAACCACATTTGATAACCAGCTCGGGTATTGTACTTCTCGAATGAACCCAGCTTCTAACAATCGGTTTACCTCCCCAGCAATGATCTGGTTGCGTTCCGGGGTGAACCTCCTCTGTTTTTGCCTCACAAGCCTGACGTTCGGATCAACATTAAGGGAGTGACAAGAGACAGAAGGGTCGATCCCTGGCATGTCCGAATGGCTCCAAGCGAACACATCTTCATTTTGAGAAAGGAAATCAATTAATTGGGGTTTTTCCTCATCTGAAAGTCGCGATCCTACTTTTGTGGTTCGGTCTGGCCTCAAATGATCAATTTGAACTTCATCCAGAGGCTTTTCGGTCAGCATCGTGGGCTCCTCCTCCCTGCTCATGCCGAGGGGAGGTTCCTGTAATTGTTATTGCGCATCAACAGATCGGATGGGAGCATTTCTCTTCCCTGTGGCCTTCAGAGTCACTGAATAACATTCATTTACTGCAACTTGATCCCCATAGATATCAATCACCTTGCTTCCGTCTGGGCTTAGGCACCTCATCACTTGGTATAGGGTTGAGGGGACTCCCTGTACCCTATGGATCCATCCTCTCCTCATCAACAAATTGTAGGAGGATATATCTCCACCACCGCAAAACTTTTGACTAAGTCCCTCTCAGCTGCTCGGACCAGCAATTCCACTATGCCGATCAGTTCGACTTGTTTGCCATCAAACCCAAACAACGGATTTCCAGTAGATTTGAGCTCATCTGGCTTAATTTTAAGCCGATCAAAAGTGACTCTAGGCATGATATTCGCACTGCTACCCAGATCGATAAGCACTCTTGGTACCAAGCATTCTGCCACTGTCAAACTGACAACCAAGGGATCCTCATGCGGAATCTGAACTCGCATCAGGTCTGTCTTATCGAACCATATCTACAAGGCCGAGCTCTGTTGGTGCAGGGTGTTGACACTGCCTACTCGCCCCTTCATTTGTGCTTGGCGAAGGCGTGTTCGAAGCAATTCCTCAGATTCTGCGGTCTGCTCGGGTCGGTCATGGATAGCGTTGATAATCCGTACGGGCTGAGCGTTATGGTGGTTTGATTTTTGGTTTCTCTTGACCTGCTCAGCTGGACGATTTTGCTCTTGCGCCGGCCCTTGAACATACCCTGCAAACTCTCCCCTAGTGATCAACATCTCCACTTGTTTCCTTAAGTTCCTGCATTTATTAGTCTGATGACCAAAATCACTATGAAAAGCACAATGTTTGGATTGATCCCGTTGTTCAAGAGGTTGTCTAATTGGCAAGGAAGGGCGAAACTTATCTTTGTTCTCTTGGTATTGCCTTGCCAATGTAACTTTGAGTGGAGTAATCAGGTTATCTTCCCTAGGCCTCTTCTCTGTCTTCCAGGAGGTCTGACGTTGCGTAGGAACTTGCTTCTGCCATATTTTTGCTTTGGATTTCTCTTCCGTGGAGATGATAAATGTCTTCCTAGCATTAGCTGTTTCTTCCTCTTCCAAGCATACGAAACCATCAGCTCTCTCATTCAGCTCGTCCATTGTCCTTGGCGTGTTTACCACCAGACTGGTATGGAACGGTGTCCCTCGGGTCATAGCTAACTTGAACGCCTGAACTGCTGTGGAAGGATGGCACTCTATCACCATGTTCTTGGTTAGATTAAACCTAGTAAGGAAAGCTTGGAGACGCTCATCGTCATGCTGTTTCATGGTGAACAAGCTGGAGATATCTTTTGCCAGGCGCTAATTCCCATAGTATTGGCTTATGAACCGATCACACAAGCTACGGAAGCTATCCACTGAGCCCCTCGGCAGGTTCTTAAACCAATTGAGTGCCGGTCCAGCTAAGCTTGTAGGAAAACATTTGCACATCAAAGGATCATTCTCTGTGGTCAGTGCCATTTTCAACTGAATGTGATAGACATGATCAATCGGATCGGTCGTTCCGTCGAACAAAATGAAAACAGGCATGGAAAACTTCCTCGGGCTCAGAGCATTCAGGATCTCATCAGTGTACGGCGAATCAACCGTCCGTGCTGCTGAACGGAGGGCCTCATTCTCTCTTTCAAACCTTGTGACAACTCTTTGATCTGTAGATCTTCTTTCCGAACTCCTGTAATCATATATGGCCAGTGAAGGCCGATAAGGTGGATCGAACGACCTTTCCTCAGTGAACCACGGCGAATTAACCTTGTGACAATCAAACTCCATATCTTGTTCGCGATTGTGCCTTTCCTGATGCTGATTGAAAGCTGTATTTCCATCCCGCCTGATATACTCACGATGAGGATCGGGATGTACAGATCCTTCTCGATCCTCAGCTCAACGAGCGTTTGGCGGTAAATTCTCCATCCTAACCTCCTCACGGTGGAGATTGACGTGGTTATCTCCTTCTTGCTCACCTTGATGTGCGTCATCAGGTCGCACGCCTCTTTCACCCACCGGAGGCGGTTGCGGCACAACCAGAACCTCTCGACGTTCCATTCCAGCTCTCAACTCTGCATTTTCTTTTCTCAGTGCCTCGATCATGTTCATCAGTTCATCAAGCTTCATCTGTTGGTTACTCTCCACTGGATTCGAACTCTTTTCTCCGATCATCATTCTGGATCGTAGCAAAGTCATCAACCGCAAATTTCTGATCAGATCTGCGTTCTGCCAATGCTGACGCTCTAGATCTGGATTTTAGTGCAGCTTAATTCTGATCGTGATTAACACGATCTGAATTGCTCCGGCAACGAACTTGCCAAATTCTGCAATTTTAGCGACTCTTGACCGCACAATTCTCTAAAACAAGCACAAATCAGAACTGCGTAGATCGAACTCCAATTTCTCCGGTCACAATTTCACCAATCTTAATTCTGCCTTCAACGATCAGGCTTCGTCTTCAAGCGCTATATCACCAGATCAAATCAATCTAAGTGAATCATCAATGAATTCTCATCGTTTCCCACAGACGGCGCCATTAAAAATGCATGAATTTTCTCTCTCTAAATTAACAGAATTTCATTACACTTTAAAAATTTCCATCGTTCATTTCTCCTTTCTCCTTTCTATTTATAGACCATTTGCATTACTCTAGAACTAGGATCTTGGAAAAAGGAGTATTTTGGTTTTAGTAAAGTTTCCTTTATCAAGATGTAATTATAGTTAATGATACCCATAGAACTATGATAACTCACGATTGACGATATTAACCAATAAAATTGAGGGGCAGAGAAGGGACGCTCTGGCGAGGCAGGGAGTCGTGATCTTTTTGTACAGTTTCTAGTATTTGATTGATGTTTAATTTTTTTTACCACGTTAAATGGACTCCAAAATAGTCCATCTTCAAGTTGGTTTGTTTTCATTAATTAGAAAAGCTTACAAGAGGATATCAATATCATGCATTCTTGTCATTCCATGGGTAAGTAAAATTTTTTTTTCCCATTGGCAAGTCTTTTTTCTCACACTCGGGCTCCAACTTTTTTTATTTTTATTTTTTATTGAATGGGAGCACTTAAGGCCTCATTCTTTACTATTTCGGCAACACTGCCAGTGTTGCCTCATCTAAGGATAGAGAAGTTATACCATTGAGCTACGTACTTTTTAAAGATTGTGGTTTGCTGATTCTTCTAACTGAGTGTCTATGTAATTGTAGAACTTCGGCACTTCTTTTTACTAAAAGCAGACGTTAAATTTACAGATACTTGCCAATATGTTATTGCTATTGTTTTACCACCAAGGGCTGAAGAAAATAGGATTTGATACACATGTTGTGAACAAACTAATCATAGAGACTCGCACAACACTTTTTCCCATCGATCAAACACTTCTCCTGGATTAAGGCACGACAAACCTCAGGCTCTAAGACCCCTTTGCAATTCAAGTCTGGACACTAAGGAATTTGAGGACTGAGAGTAGGAGCTATATATGCTACATTACAAAGTACACCCAATCTCCGAAAAACTTATCTTCTAAAATTAAATGAATGCCCTTGCCTCCTACACCGTAATCTGGCCAGCTACAGACTCTGTCACAAACCCATACATTGGCTTTAAACAAACATGTCTGCCATAGACTGTAAAATTACAGTTCCAAGTGTTCTCTAGTGCATACCACTAGAGTATTTCAGAATGTTCAAAAGCGTCAGAATTCAAAACTACTAATATTTTGGCTTCATATTTTCTTTGTCTAATAAGAATATGACATTGAATCCTAAGATTTGACTTTCTTCAAAAAAATTAGCAAAGATTGTTCTGATTATGTAGATGATAGAAATAATTGATTGAAGTTGATCAAATTTTGAAAATTAAATGCGCGCACAAGCCATTGTAACATATGCTGAGTACAGTAAATATAAGCAAGAAGAGAAAGAACCATCACTTATAATCTCCAAATTGTATATATGATTCACAACATCGACTTTGAACAGAATCCATTAATAAACTGATCCCAAAATCTGATCTTTAACAGCAATTAAATGAGTGAAAAGGTAAAGATAGGAAACACACATACACACACACATTATATCATAGGATAAATTTACTTCTCTCTCTAGGCTGTTCTACATATGTGAGTTTCAGTCCATTTTGATCCATAACTGTAGCAAAATTGATATTTACACCTGTCAAAACCAATAAATTAAAGAATTACAATAATTTTTGCATTCGTAGTAATTTGTACATAAATTTAACATGGTCTATTTTAATGAACATGTCCAGTTTCAACATAGCAAAAACTAACCTGCAGGTAATGTGTAAACAACCATCAATCTTTTCGACATAGGACTTGCATTTGGGACATCTCCTCCATTTATGTTCCTTGGCAAGCTCCTTCAACACATTGTCTCCGTCCCTTTCTCTCTTACCCTTTTTCAACCTCTGGAACTCCCTGCACTCCATCCCGGCATGCCACGAAACCTTGCATTGCGCAGAACAGCCTCCTGCAATTCGGGCACTCAGATACAGTCACAACATCCCTGCCATCATCAACCAACATAGCTGAACAATCCTTGAAAGGACAGTAAAATTTTTGTGCCACGAGAATCATAGACTCGCACAGCGCATTTTCCCATCTATCAAACACTTCTCCCGTAACAATGGAACGACAAACCTGAGGGTCTAAAACCCCTTTGCAATTCAAGTGTGAACACTTGACCATACTAATATTTTCCTTTATCTTTGAAGCTATTTATTTGCGTATGCAGTCTGCACAAAATATATGTACACAAGTGTTGTTTCTGAACATCTCTCCTGCTGGTTTTGTATCCATGCAAATCAAACAGAAGCTTTGAGAATATTCACCAGTTTCACTTCTCTTTGATACCTTTTCCTTCTCCTTTTCCATCCAATTATTTTCCATTTCTGATTTCTCCCACTTCCTGGTTGAAATGATAGCTGAGGACATGAGAGCCTCTTCAAGCTGCAATTCCTCTGCATATGTTTCGTCCGAAATTGGGAAGATTTCTTCTTGTTGATAGACAGCTGAGGAGAAGTGGAAATCATCAAATTCGTCCTCTATCATGTCATAATGTAATTCTTCTGTATATAATTCATCCAAAATGGTGAAGAATTCTTGTTGGTGGTCATAGTCAGCTAAGTAAGGATCGTCAACGTAGGATATTAAAGCTTGATGATCCATCATCCATTTTTTTTCTTTTTTCTTTTTTTCTTGTTTTCTGGACTTACAGATTAAAAATCTGTAACAATGTCCTATGAGCTTTGCTAACCACATCACTTATCCTATTAGTCTAGGAAACAATTCTCATTTCTGATTTGTCTAAGAATCAAGAATTAGTTATCATTTGTGACTTATCTAGGTATAGAAACCTACCACCACATAACTTCTTTTACTTTTTAGAGATAATTATACTGACCTCCCCTCTTATTTGTCAAATAAGACTGACCTCCTGAAAGTTTATATACTGATAATACAAACCTCCCTTACTGTTAAACAACTAACAGTTTATGCTTAAGTTCGTTAGAAAAAACCAGTACAAAAACAATTTTACCCTTCTAATACCTGAAATGAAATTTTTAACCTCAATAATCACTTCAAATTTACAATACTATCCTTGACTTATAAACTCAAAAGGACAATGGTGCCCTCACATCAATAAACCCAGAACACCCAATGGGTCTAAACTGCAACCACGAAATTTATCGGTGAGACCAACGGCGGCTGGTTTACTGGCGAGAAAATTAGAGCAAGGAAAGATGGGTTTGAGTTGGCGAGTCAAAGTTCATGTACATTTCAGTTCGGAGCTTCGCTGGTAGGTTCGTTGACACTTGATGGTCTGAGTTGTCACCGGACCGAACTGGGTTGCTAAAACTCGGTGCAGAAGCTGTTGGCTGGGCTATCACTGGAGAAGCATGTACGTGAAACCCACTTCTAATCACTCAATAATAAAACAAAAAATGAGGAAAGAAATACGGAGAAAGTGAGTATTGCTTGTAGAAAGAGAAAAAAGAGAAAGAGAGCCGCAAAAAAGGAAAACTCAATATAAAAAAAATGCAAACCCAGTTTTAAAGTGGCCATTGTTCCCGCCAGCCTCGCCGTAGTCCTCGTTGTTCCGTTTCACTGCCAAGAACACCTTGCTCAGATGACCGAGAAGATGCAACTGCAGCAGGTGGTGCTAGCAGTCAGCTGCCGTCGGCCGTTGCTCCAGGTTGTATTCCAGACACATGTTCTGCAACTCTCTGAGAAAATTGGGCACACCCCACATGTCTTCACAAGCTAACCCACACCTCACATATCTACCTTCACCCCATGCAAACCCCTCCCCATCTCCGGCGTGTGCCTCCCACTCTTGCTGCCACCGCGGCCACCCCACCGCCACCTCCGTGTGGGTACAACTGTGGCGCATTCACCGCCTCATCAAACCCAGTCATGAACCACTTGTTTTCTCTCTCACTACTCATCATCACCTTGTCCCACCCCAAGGCCCTGTGCATGAACGAATGGTCATGCAATGCAACCAATGCCTTTGTCACGTGCCTCAGAGCCTCCACTAGTTGGTCACAATTAGTCAGCTTGAATTTGCACCCTCTAGGCTTGAACACCAATGCCAAATCGGTCTCTGATGACCGGACAATCACTTCTGCTTGTGGGATTCTACAGTCAAGAAGAAGAAAAAAAAAAAATCAAGCATGGTCGCCGGGGAGCTGTTGGGGACAGAAGAGAGAGAGAGAGAGTGGGCTTGTCCGCAGTGGCAAGGCCATGGGAAAGGAGAAGGAAACAAAAAATCTTAAAAAGGGTACTATTGGTATTTTATATTCATGATATTTTATATTTTTATAATAAATTAATAAGTAAGGGTAAATTAGTAATTTTACTCTTTCCATTAACACCATTCATTTACCGGGGGAGGTCAGTGTAATTTGGCAAACAAAAAGGAAAATCTGTGTAGGTTAACGAAACCTTATGGGAGGTCAGTGTAATTTACCCTACTTTTTATTCTACCGGCAAGTCACATGGTTTATTGGCCACGTGTTTGTTTACCTATCCTCTTGACTTAATATGATTTTATTTAACAGGAAAATATGACCCCAAAATCAAACAATACAATACAACCTTGGTGAACAAAATATATATATATATATATATATATATATATATATATATATAAAATAACTAACTAACAATAATTAAGCTAAGAGGATAAGTAAATAAGCACGTGGCCAATAAACCACGTGAGTACTTACCAGTAGGATAAAAAGTAAAAGAAGTTTTGTGGCGGTAGGTTTCTACACCTAGATAAGTCACAAATAATAACTAATTTCTGATTTCTAAACAAATCACAAATGAGAACCGATTCATAAACTAATAGAACAAATGTAAAGCCACAGTAGTTAACAAAGCCCATGTCGTTTTTATACACACACTAATTGTCGTGCTATTTAGAGGGTCGGTCCTTGTGTTTTTGAACTTTGAAAGGCCGGGCACAACTTACCACCAGCTTATTTGTAACACATGCATATTCCCTATGATCGAGCCTTTAATTAATGGGAAAATTACAGAAAAGTGAACTTTTGGAGTCTATTTACCTAGAGAATGATTCAAAATCAACACCTTTCAAAGTCAAGGACTTTGAACAAAGTTTGAAGTGGATATGAATTTGCACTGTTAATTTTCTTAAATGCCCCTCTTATTGTTCAATTAAAATTCCTTAACTACCCCTCCTTTTACAAGAGGGGTATTCATGTGTAGAAAACGTGATACCCAGTTGTACAAAAGTACTAATTGTTTGTACAAATGTAGTACTATATATTTCAACAGCCCGTTATCAAAAGGTTGTCAAAAGGGTGAGTAAATTTTTATCACCGGTTGTCATAGTACGACTCCTCCTAACTTTTACAATATATTACTTCCATTCCTTATTAATTGTCCATTTTTTATTTTATAACTTTTTGAAGGAACTTTGACTTTTTATAGAAGACAATTAATTTGGAACATGTAAAAATAAAAAAATAGACTACTAATAAGGGACGAAGGGAATAACAAGTTATCAAAATATTAGTTCTCTTATTGGTCACTGGTAGTAAAAATATTGTGCACAAAGTATGGTTCCAACGCATAAAAAAAAAATGGTATCAAGTTACACAAAAGTGATACATACGTGCGCAAATGTCATACCTCAACACATGGTCAGTGACAATGGATTATGACTTCTTCATGAGATACAACACCCATGTAACATAGTATATGATAGTTACTCTACAACACTATTAAATGCATAAATAAAAAATAAAATAAAAATATACAACACTATTAAATGTAGAAATAAAAATTGTTTCGTACAAAATTGGTACTCACATGTACTAAATTTGTACAAAAGGTACTTAGTGACACAAAAATAAGACTTCGTAGTGCAAATATGGTACCTTAAAAAATAAAGTTATAAGGAGGGATAGTTATAGAATTTTAGTTAAAAACTAAGAGACATTTAAGGAAATGAACAATGAAAATTCATATACTTAATTAATTACCAAAAGTCCATCTCTAAATAGATTCCCAAAAGTCCATTTTTTTGCAATTTCTCCTTAATTAATTACCCAAAACTGAATGGTTTCCTCCCTCGGGAAAAATGATAGACTCATCGTTATATGTTACGAATTGACTGTTGTGTCAATCTATTATTGGGCCATTTGTCCCAGCCTTTCCAGATTTTGGCTCTCTAAAAATGCCACATCAACTTTTTCAAGAGTCACGTCAGCAATTTCAAGAGTCACGTCAGTAACTTTTGCTCTCCAGAAACATGCATTCCATCAGGCTCTCCGAATTTTCGCTCTCCAAAAAAAATGATAATAATAAATTTAATTTAAAATTTTTTTCTAAACTTTTCCTAAACGGCTATATTCGTAACAGCTATATTTTTAACGGCTATATTTTCTCAACGGCAATATTTTTCAATCAAACAATATTTTTGCAAATTATTAAAAAATCTACAATTGATATTAAAACTTGAAACAATACATTATCCATTATGGATTATTAAAAAAAAACAAATTAAGCAAAATAATTAAAAATAACTTAAACAATACAATATCCTAAATTGGAATAAGAAAATAAATAGACCAAGGATTACAAAATCCTATGGGAACTTTGGGGCGGACCGTGAATTCAATGATACCAATATCTCATTTTGTCATGCAACAATTCAAGCTTTCCCTGCGTCTGTTAGTGCCGAATTTGGATTTGTTAACATGAGCTCCTTCTCTTCAAGTCTCTGTTTCTCTAGAATCTCTAGCTGTGTAGTCTTCTCTTTCGCCATTTTTCTTACCTCTCGTGCCACTTGGCCATCCTGCATTTTCTCCTAATGACTCTCAAAATAATTGGTGATATTATTAAATTTCGAAACAAATGAAGTTTACAATTCATTCGCTGAATTAATTTTTGCTCAACGCTGTTTCGCCGCTTTTATTCCTGCTGGTCTTTGTAGTTGTTGATATTATTCCACACCGGGTGAATCATTTTCCCCTATGTGTGGTGATTTTTTAGTTGAAGCTCCATCTGTCGTGGTTGCATGACTTGACGGAGTAGATGGTAAGAATTGCCCAACAGACTCATTAATGTCAAAGTCAAATCCAGTCCTCTTCTTCGGCTCCTTTTTATTTTTTCTTTTTCCTACTTGTTCGGCATAATGTGAATGCCATTTATTGTTATGCTTCAAGATTTTTCAGCAACTTTCTAACTTAAATTCACCACCTATTTGGATACGAAACAAGTTTTTAGCTACTATCATCTATACGAAACAATTAACAAAAAATTAAAAACCGACTATTTAAAATATTTATGAGTTATATTTAAATAATAAATAACTCACCATATCATCACTGCTGAAACCGCTGGGACGATTCATTTCCATGGTAGTCATGCAGCCAAAAAATTTGCTGATTTTTTGTTGGATCACCGACCAACGATTCATTAAACCTCCATCATTTCGCTCAGTTGGAACACCAATATGTTGTTTATATTGTTCCAGAATTCGCTCCCATAACTTCTTCTTACTTTGGTCTGCCCCCGTAATCGCATCAGAAGTAATGGACATCCACGTCCAACATAAAGCCTTATCTTTAGCCTTGGTCTAATTATTAGGTCAGATAGCCAGTTGTTTTGGCGAGGGTTTTGAGTTATTTGATTGTGGACCACTAGTACCACAATCATGATGAGAAGTTTGGGATGGTTGATGAGAAGAAAATTGAGAATCTCCTCCATAATAATTGATATTGTCTTCGAAAAATGGCAAAAACTCATCGTTTGATGGATTGAATTAGGTGTTATAATAAAATGAATGTCGATGATTCAGGGAATCGAAATGATTTTGAAAATAATAGTTAAGATTGAGAAAATTGAATAAGAAATAAGTTGAATGGTAGATAATAGATATGTGTTAGATGTGATGAGTGATGGTAGGAATTGGGATATTTATAAAGATTTTAAAATTTTTAATTATTATTATTTTTTTTGAATAAAGTTAAAAAATTTTGAAATTTTAAAATTATAGCCGTTAAGGCACTGTTTGTGTTAGCCAAACAGTGCCTTAACGGCCAAATACACTATTTGTAGTACACATTTAAAATTTAAAGCAAAAAAAATTATAAAAAAAAATCACCAAATTTTAAGGGGAAAAAAAAAAGTTTTTTAATTTATTTTTGGCCCAAAATTTTTTTTTTTTTGGACAAACAATGCCTAAACAATATTTTTTTTATTTAATGAATTTTATTTTATTTTTTCTCAAAAAAAAGAGCTCTAAATAACTTATTTTTAGGTTTTTTCTAAAAAAAAAAAATTCTGGAAGGCACTGTTCAATAACTGTGTACAACCGTTGAAGAATAAAACAAAAAAGGCCTAATATTTTGCATTAGGAAAAAAATAAATAATTAATTAATTACAGCGATGTCTTTGACTCTTGAAATTAACGCCTAGAGGAGAGATTCTATTAGCAAAAATCCTAGAACTCTATCCATTAGAGTCGGCAAAAAAACGAGCGAAGCATTTCCGCTTGAAAGATTGTGAAATAAAGATTGCAAGTGGTCCAGCCCCATTTGGCATAATCTTTGGCTGTTTCCTTCTTTCCAAATAATAATTCCATTACAATTCACGGACTAATTTTATTTGTTACAAAGGTGCAAGAAAATTATAAATGTGACAACACCCTATAATTAAGTATCTTACTTAACTCTAGATTCTCTCACAATTATGATAATGAAATTAACAGTTCCGTGAGACACCCAATTAATTTGGTGTTTGCACATATAACATTATTCACAATATAAAAATCCAATCAGCTTCGAAAATGGAACACATAAGTCTAGGGATGGCAAATGGGGCGGGGATCCCATTCCCCATCCCCATCCCCATCCCCGCTGAATATTTCAATCCCCATTCCCACTTAAAATTTCACCACCACCTCCATATCCGTCCCCACCCCCGACCTCTTATCCCCATCCCCAGGCCCGATTAACATATATTATTTTTTTTAAAAAGCATAATTTTTCTTATTTTCATATATATAATAAATCTAATTTAGAAATAAAATATTAAATGTAAGGGCATATTAGTAATTTAATACTTAATCAGGGTGGGTTTATCCCTGTCCCCGCCCCGAACGGGTTTTCAAACTTTACCCCCATCCTCATCCCTGTTTACATAAGAAGGTCGCCATCCCCGCTATAAACAGGGTGGGGCGGGGACCCGGCGGGGATGGGGAATTTGCCATCCCTACATAAGTCGACTTGGTTTGTACAACATAATACCACAAATAAAAAGCAAATCAACTATTGTTTAACAAAAAACCAAAAACATTCCGTGAGTAAAACAATTCACAAACCCTAGTGACGACTACGGCTGCAAGTTGGGCAGGTTCAATCTTGCCCACTTTCAATTCGAAGTTGGGTTGGATTAGATTGGCCCGATGTCAAAAAAGTTGAGCTCTGACAATAATTCAAACCTAAATGTATTCACGTCGGATAAGCTGACCCGTTCAACCTGTTATTTTTTTTATTTTTTTTTTCGTTTTCATTTTTTTCCCTTACTAACAAATATGCAAATTACATTTCTTTCTTTTTCGGGTTTGAACCATCAATTTTTACATAAATTTTTAATTCATTAATATATATATTTTTAATCTGATCAAACTATTAGTATTGTGACTGAAATATTCAATTATTAATTTTTGTGTCTTTTCAACTCTAATTTTATTTTTATTAATACAAAAAACTAAAACTTACCTTATTTTATTTTAAAAATAAAAATAAAAAACTTATTTTTATTTATTATTAAATAAATTTTTATTTTTAAATTATTCGACAATTCCTTGATACCTGGGTTTTATCTCTCTGCAATCACACACACAATGACCAATTAGGAAAGCTTGCTGAAAATGAGGTAGAAGCTCGACCACCACCATTTACCTGGAAGGTTGGACCCCTTATGGTGGTTGGAATGTCAAATTGGTGAGCAAAGTCATATCAGATACATATGTATCAAAGATTTGAAAGTTTGAAAAAAAAAAAAATTATATATATATATATATATATATATATATCAAGCTTCATGCGACCCAAAATAACGAACTTTTCAACTGATCAAAAGTCAATTACAAAAAATTACACTTTATTACTTTATCAGACTTAACTATAGTTAATTTACCATAATTAGCCACTATCTCTCTCCTTAATCTCTTCCATCGTCCCTGCAATCTCAATGGCTCAATCTTTTTTACACTTTGATTTTTTTATTTTTTTGCTCTCTTTATTCATTTTTCCCTTCATGGCCGCTCTCTTATTTATTTTTTATTTTTTTCGTCGACCTATTATTCCACACTTTGTGAATAAACTCTTCGTTTTTTTTTTTTTTTTGTTCAATGGCTACCAATTTTTTAAGATTCATGAATAAGCACAACCTCCAATAATGGAATCTCAAACAAAAAGCATATATTGCTTAATCCTGCCAAGAAAACAATTAAAGGTTTCTAAATTTGGATTTTCTAAAACTCCATAGCTCAATACTGAAACAGAAATAAAAAAAATTAATCTCCAAATTCTGGCAATTTATTAGCTCTAGATATAGAAGTACATGCATTTAATAGTTGTGACCTGGATCTGATTTTGGAGAATGAATATGGTAGTCATTTTATGACTGTAGTGATGAAGATGGTGGTTGTGATGATGTAGTAGATATGACGATAATGATTGAAATTACAAGGACGTTGGAAGAGATTAAGGAAAGAGAGATTGAATAAAGGTAAATTAACTATGATTAAGTCTGATAAGGTAATAAAGTGTAATTTTCCTAATCAACTTTTGATTTATTATTTTGAACCGCATGAATTCCTTCCTATATATATATATATATATATATATATATATAGTTTTTAAAAATTTTGGATTTTGATTTGAGTTTGGGTCAAGTCCAAACCCAATCCTAACATATTGGGGCTTTAAAAAAGTCCAACTCAATTTGAACCTAATTTGTGAATTTAAAAACTTGATGTACACACAAATTTTGTAAGCCTGCAATAGAAACAAAATATTGAGCAAATAATATAATTTTATTAATTTGAGAAATTGAGGTACAATTCTCTATAATATTCTTTACAAAAGAAAGAACTGGTCCTCGGATTAAATCTCCTTTTTTTGTTGGTTGGTTGGATCCAAGGGCTGTATGAACTTAATCTTGAATCACCGTGGAATTTGGATGACGAACGGCACGACTTTGGATGTGCTTATTGTTGATCACCGTGGAATTTGATGAAGACCGGCACGATTTGATGTGCTTGGTGTTCTTCGCTTTTGGGTTTGGTTGTTGGAGATGAGAGCTTTTGTATTTTTTTCTGAAATTCTGGATTTTTGAATTCTGAATTTGTGTACACCTTCTCCCTTTCTCCAGATCTCTATTTATAGGCTTCTTGGATTGATAGGATGATGACACGTGTCATCTCCTGATAAGAATAAAATTATAATTGAGCCGGGCCGGTTATATTATAATAATTATTCTTAAAAATAATTATTCTAAATATATTTTATTATAAATAATTATCTATTTATTTAACCATCTGGACTGGACTAATTAAATAATTTAAGTGGATCAAGTTTGGGCCATTTAAATAACTTAATTAAACATTAAGCCCATATTTAATGAGTCCATTTATCAAAACTAAAGCCTACTAAAATTTTAATGTCTACACTTGAGTCTCAAAAAAATTTAGACTGAATTTGGATTAGGTTGGCCTGCCCTGCCCAAATTAACCCCCTAGTGACGACAACGACAAGAATAGAAGACTCAGTGATTTATTGGCAGTCTATTACAAATAATGTGCACAAGTTATAATATTTTAAACTAAAATATCACTAATAAATTTATGTTCAATTACTAATCTATGCCCGCATGTTGTGCATCGGTCAATAAATTGAAAGATTAGTTTTGTTTTAAATTTTTTTATGTTTTTCATGTTTCTTGAAAATAGTAAATGACTGTTCCTAACACTACTCTTGTTTCATTCTGTCAAACGTTGCTTCCTGATTGGTTCTGTTGCGTGCATAAAGAGTAGTGCCTTCCTGTAGAAAAAATTTATTCTCCCTTGCACAAAAAGTGATAAAACAAAGCTCCTCTTGATAAGAGTGATTTATTCATTTAAGTAATAAATTAAAAATATTTATTAATGTATATAATGTTATAGATCATTGTACAAATATTGATCAGTGCTCATCAAAAATATGTCAAAGGGTATAAAAAAAACAGCACATCACCATCTTGATTGGATTTAAGTAGTGTATAGCATAAAAATAATAACAATAATAAAAAATAAAAAAAAAAAGATTTTGATCATTCCATAAATGTTGGGAGAGATAAATGTTACCCATCATTAAACAAATCTCACAATCTCCTCAGTTAACATCCTCAATAAGGATAGCATAATCTTCTCTTATCTTGGTTGACATCCCCCATGGTTTGAACTCCATTGTGATCCACACCCATAACAAAAGCACCAAACAAATTAAATTAAATTAAATTAAACAAGTAAGAATTATTATTGTGCACCAAAAAATAATAATAATAATAATAATTGACAAAACTAACCTGCAGGTAATGTGTAAACAGCCATCAACCTTTTCAACATAGAACATGCATTTGGGACATCTCCTCCATTTCTGTTTCTTGGCAAGCTCCATCAACACATTGTCTCCTTCCCTTTCTCTCTTCTCCTTTTTCAACCTCTGGAACTCCCTGCACTCCGTCTCGGCATGCCACGAAACCTTGCATTGCGCGCAGAACAGTCTCCTGCAATTCGGGCACTCAGATGCAGTCACAACCTCCCCACCATTATCAACCAACATAGCTGAACAATCCTTGAAAGGGCAGTAAAATTTATGTGCCGCGAGAATCATAGACTCGCACAATGCATCTCCCCATCTATCAAACACTTCAGCTGGAACCAAGGACCGGCAAAGCTCGGGCTCTAACACCCCTTTGCATTTCAAGCCTGGACACAAAACCATACTAATATTTTCCTGTATCTTTGATGCTTCGTGCTTGCCAATACAGTCTGTGCAAAAAGAATGGCGGCAACTTCTGTTTTCAAACATTTCTTTTGAATGTTTCGTATCCATGAAAATGGAACAGAAGCTATGTTGAGAAGATTCACCAGTTTCTGATCTTGTGGCAGTTTGCTTTTCTTTTTTGGTTGATTGATTTTGTGTTTCAAGTGTGTTGATTTTTGGTCTGTGAGAGATTGCTGATGACATTAGAACCTCTTGTAATGCCAATTCTTCTGCATATTTTTCATCTGAAATTGGGAAGATCTCTTCTTCGTCACACAGAACTGAAAAGTAAACATCATCAACATAGTGATTTTTTGATGATCCTTCCTCCATTTTCTGTTTCTCGATCAATAACCCATGGCCTACTACAATTATGAATTACGCTACTGTCCTATTGTACATGTTTGGCTGGTGGTGGTATTCAAAGGGTCGCTACTGTGGAGAAGGCAGAATTGAATCATATCCCTATAATCATGGGAAATCTCAAATTCATGAATTTTAGGGTTTTTGCTAGAATCCAACAAGGACTCTTGTTCCCAAAATCGTGAATTTGGTCAAAATAAATAAATAATTTTTAATAAATAGTGGATTAATAAATGGAATGGTCCAATTTACCATTTTCATTTATGATAAAGCAACTAAATCTTACCACCAAATAAAACCCGAATCTGATGTGGCCAAACCACATCGCTCACTCAATCCTTAGTTGGAAACTCCGATTATATTCATGTTGGTAATTGTAACTCATTAATTTTAGGCAACTGTTCATATTTGTTGTTCATTGTAACTTCTACTGTATATTTGGGGGCTCTTATTTAAAGAGCATACATGAGTGACAAATAAACTGTGTCTGCCTAATACATTTTAACAATTAAATACTCTATCATGCTACCACCGACTATATTTTTTATAGTTTTAAAGAGCATGTGTTTTATTGATTTTTTTTATTATTATTATATTTTTTATAGTTTTAGTGTTGAATATTTTTTATGGCACGTAGGGTTCTTTTGAATTCATAAAGGGCAGGTACCGACCTAGCAAAGTTCATTGAGGACGACTATCCCCATTTATTTATTAGTTTTTACATTATAACATATCATTTTTATTAAAATTTTAAAAAAATCTTCACTAAATTTTGAAAAGACGGCACTATGTATATTCTTGTCACACTGATATTTTTGAATTTTTCAAAAAAGTAGAGTAATATGTCCCTCTCTATTTCTCACTCTCTACGCTCAATAATTTGTACCGGATTGAATTTGTCTGTACATTTTGTTGATTGATTTGTTTGGTTTCGTGTATCATGATAAGTTGGACATATACTTCACAATAGTCCAAACAACAGGCTAAATCTTTACTTTTTCTTTTTATTTTTATTTTTTGTTGATGTGATCTTCTTTACATGCGGTTTATGGAATCAGTTATAATTGAGTAATTAGATGCTGGTTGTGGTTGAATTTTCTCTCATCGAACAAGTTACGTTTTAAAGATTGTGATTTGCTGATTATTCTATTTTTAAGCGTACGTTTAATTGCTGAACATGCACAAGTACAACAACACTCTGTACTCAAAGAAGATGTTTAATTTACATGCACTTTAGCCAATATGTCAACACTCTTGTTTTGATCTATCTACTCATTTTTTTCGTACCATTAAATATTTCTTTCTTTAAAAATGTAGCAATAACAATGAGCTTTAGACCCATCACGGTGGTTCCCACAGTGCTCTATTGAATGACAGAAAAGGCGTGTCAAAAAACATCTCAATTAATTATCTTTGATCACTATAGGGTCTGATATTTAGACCCATCACAGTGGTTCCCACAGTGCTCTATTGAATGGAGGATGTGTCAATTTTGAGTACTCAATAATTTCAGCAAATCTAATATATTTATTGCAGCGGGTACCATATCATATTCTATCTATTCTGGCTTTAATGGTGTAACAAATCAAAATTTTATTACATGCCATAAAGCCTATGATCCTAAAATAAAAAATAAAAATACATTGGGTTAAAATTTATCTTTATATCATGAGTAATTATATGTGTAACACAATTCCACATTTAGATCTCCAAAAACTCATTTGAAAAAAAATAATAATAATGAAAAATACAAAGATGGTATTAGCTATATGAGAATATTGCTGGATTGTTCTCACGAGAGAGTGGGTTGCGCCGCTGCCGAAATTCCTCCAGGAGGTCGAGAGTCTCACACCGGCCAGTTGTGTGCTGACCATGTCTAAAAGATTTCACAATTTTGTTGGTTGAAATTTCAATTTCTCTCATTTCATCCAGATAAATCTGCCTGTTCCTGCACTCTATGGTACAAAAACCTTGATCACCCCTGTATCCAAAAAAAGAAAAGGAAAATTAAATTTTAATTTCCCAAGAATTTTAAACCAAGAAAAAGAAATACAAATGTTTCAATTTTTCACTAGATAAATTTTCTGAATTGGCAACCAAACTTTCTTCAATATAGAGCATCATACTCAATGAAGCCTACATGTTTTGGCAGTACTATAATTAATTAGAGTAAATAGAAGTGTGTGTGTGTGTGTGTGTGTGTGTGTGTGTGTATGAAGAGATTACCTGTACATGTAGACATCTTTATCTGGGCTGAGACTCTTTCTGCATAGATGACATGATTTTAGAAAGCAAGAATATTGATCAAGAGAGTTGGGTGGGATTTGATTCAATTGAAAAGTGGGTTTGTTCAATTTTAAACTTGGTTTAATCACAACATTGTTGGATTTGTCCTGTGAGATCTGTATAAGAATTCTCAACCCATCAGCCACTGAGCTCTTGTATGAGCTTGCATGCCCTACACACTTGCTCACTGGAAGTACCATTGTTATGTTCTAGAGAGAGAGAGAGAGAAAGAGAGATAGATAGAGTTTGATAAAGAGATGAGGGTCGTGAAGTAAAGGAGTGATGGGTATTTAAAAGAGCTTGGTCCACTGTCCACGTTAGTGAGGTAACCATGGCAAGCATGGAAGAAGACATAATATTATAATGTATATGTATATATGTATACGACTATATGTATGTATATATAAATGCATGTTTGCCATTTGTTATTTTTTTATCCTGCACGTGCTCTGTTGTACTTTATTATATTTAATCCTCACCGTGTTTTCTTGTGAGGACTGACGGAGGAGCGACAATTGATCCGACAACCGCATTGAAACCCTTTTGAAACTTTATGTTATTGAGTGGGCCGTTAATGAGAAAAGCACAGTGATTTTTATTCACAACAATAGAAAACGTGAAAATTATGCCGACGTTGAATCCCAAAAAAGGAATTATGATGGACATTTGAAACTTCTACAAAACCCTCATGAATTACTGTTTTTTTTAATGTTAAGAGGAGTTTTTTTATTTATTTATTTTTTTTTTTAATTTCCGTTGACAAGGTGGGCCTCACTAACCCCCAAAACATTTTTTTAAATGGACGTGGTGGAGCGTGCTTCCATTGTTAGGCTTCGCGTCCGCTATTTTTTCCTCTTTTCATTGTGTGGTTTAAAATTTGTAACTTTCACGTTCGTGCTGTTGTATTTACTTTCACTTTTACTCTTATTTGATGTCTCTTAGAATAAAATTATTTTTTGTATTTGTAAAAATAAATAACACGTTATATTTAATTTTTCAACAAATTTATTTTGAAGTTTAACAATTGTTTTATAAGTTAGAATCACGAACACATGTACTGGAATACCAAATGTGTTAAAAAAAAATTTACATATTGTCATATTACAAAAAAGATCCAACCTCCTTTAGTGAGGTACAACATGGTATTATTATTGTTACACCATATTAACTCAACATTTTTTTCACCTTTTCAAAAGCAAAAGGAAACAATATAATAGTTAGCTTGATTTGTTACTTAAAAAATAATTTTTAAAAATAAAAAATTATTTTTTTATAAATTATAAACAATAAAATAAAAAATAGTTCTCTGGTAATAGAGACCCATCTTTAAGTGAATTTTCAAAAAATGGTACTGTCAACCAACCTAAAGATTTTGTACAATTTTTTACTTTTCCGATCCTAAAAAATACAAAAAACGGTATTTAGAAAACTAAACTAACCAAGCGGGCCATTGTATTTACCTCTGTATATACGCAGGGAATTTCAAATTTGTCATTGAATAAAATAATCTATTTCAAACAAAATATAAAATTAATAATGTTTTTTTGGCCTTTTCAACCAAACATGTTACCTTCTCATTGTGTGTTATTTTGTTTTTTTTTTACTTTTCAACCAAACCTATTGTTTAAACATTTAATGGTGGTCGAATTGAATATTTAAATAATAAATAATAAAAGGCTAAAAAAAACTTAATTAGATAGAGCTGTGCCACATCATCTCTTGATTTTCTCCAGCTGAGTACTTCCTATTTTAATTGTCATATTTCTCTCACATTTGCATTTCTAACGTTTTCGTAGGATGACAAATTTTGGTCCCTTAATCAATAAGATATTATCGAGATATTTTTTGTTGTTTTGGTAAGTTGATATTTTCGGGATATTTTATTTGTTCATTTTTTTGTTATGATAAGTGGATATTTTCGAGATATTTTATTTGTTCGATTCTCTTTTTCTTTGCTCTTCCAACCTGTTTATACGCAACTAGTTTGGTGTCACAGAGATCTCATTGAGTCGTTATATATGCTTAAAAAATAAAGATTAAAAAAAAAACCATTTTATTAACAATAGACTTTTAGTACGTTATGACAACAATACCAATAAAGAGAGATGGTTCATCTTTACAAAATTCAATTCCTTGTTTAGAATTCAAATCAACTAAAAAAAAAATATGACTTTAATCATATTATTTGGATTCCTTTTTCTTTTTTAATTTTAATTTTCTCTCTCTATTAACATTCAAAAAAAAATTTGGCTTCTTCCAAATATCACTAGGTTGGCTAATTGGTGTCATATGATTTAGTATTTATTAATTTTTGGCATGACATGTTATGGGAATAACCACCGTCTAAATTAAAGTGTCTATCACGTTTATGTGACGGTTACACAATAACAGCTAGTTCGTCGTTTGTTGGATGAATTAATTTTTATAAAATGTCTCATTCATCACGAATTAAGATTTAACTAGGTCCAATGCATTCTCGGAACAATGGGTTATCCTATCTATTCGGATGAATCTGACTTTGATAATAAGTGTAACGGGTTAGGTGTTTTGCGATCCAACTCAAAAACTTAAGCTGTTACGTGGAGATAATACCTAAACAGTTAACTCATTATATTTTTCATTCGGATCTAACATGGGATAAGATTTCTCTTATAACAATTATGCAACTTGCCAAAATTTATATTATATATTTATTTTTTATTTAAACACTTAAAAAAGAAATAAAAGTTGCATGGGATTTAAACCAAAGCCGGATATAAATTTTTTAATAGTTAAAGATAACAGCGTGATATGATTAAAGAAAACCAATGTGAAGATAAGGAGGAAGAGGGAAACTTCATTCCTTCGGCAAAGTGAACACCAAGAGAAGGGATAATAAGTTTGAGAATCTATAATCCCTCCAATTTTGAACGAAAGAGATGCTGGAAATCAAGTGTCACTTTTATACAAGTTTTATATTATAATATTATCCTTCATAAATTAAAATACTATAAATATTAACGGTATAATATTAAAAATAATTTAAAAAAATTTCCCCTCCTCTCATGGCAAATATAATAAGGTGTTGTTTGATAATTCAATTCAACATTTAATTCTAAACGAATTCAATACTTATTCAATTAAATGCATTTGATAACGCCATTTGAATATCATTGAAGGCGGTAAAGTTTTAAGTGATAGAGATATCACTTATCATTGAATCACGGAAAATTTTAAAAATATCTTTAAAAATATTAATTTTTTAATTATCACTTAAAAAATTTAGCATTTAAATACTTGATTTTTAATTTTATCAAACAGTACTTAAATTGTCAACTTATTCTCTTATCTTTTATTCAATCGAATAAAAAAGAAAAATTGACGCAATCTCTTATTTAGAATGTCTCATCCATCCATAGAAAGAAGCATAAAGTATACGAGAAAACCAACCGAATAAATCTTTCATTCCAGAAAGGGATGTATCTAATAATATGCTGATAAAACTTAATACCGACCTACAAGGGCCAGTGGGGGCATCCACCCCACTGGATTTATTTAACTATACTATTTTTTTTTTTTTTTGAATTTTGTTAAAATTTTAAAAATGTCCACTCTCTCTCTCGTTTTTTTTTCATTCATTTTCAAAAATACCTCATTATATATTCTTGTCCCCAATGATTTTTATAGGTCTAAAAAAAAGTAAAGTAATAAGCTCGCTCTCATTTCTTCACTTTCGAGAGTCCCACATTGACTCTATCTCTATCACTCACTCATTTTTTCAAGTATTTAAAGCCTGTCCACCAAACCACCCCCTATATTTTTGTAAATGTAATAAACGAAAATATTATTTATTTTAAGAATTATCTTTAATTTCTTTATTTTTTTAAATCTTCAACGAAGCCTCCCCTTAACAAAAAAAAAACTTGGTGCATCACTGTTTTTAGTCTAATAGTCTTGCATACTTAATTCAAAGCTTATAGAAGTCTCATCCAAATATGAATTTGAGTATTTTTATAGTTTCTTTCTTTCCAAATCATATAAAACACAACATGCCAAACAGCCAAAGTAATCTTGCAACAAGTTTATTGTTTTATTCATATGAACCATTTGTTCCAAAAGCAAATACTATAATTATGTGAGGTTTTCACGTACATTTTACATGCCCACATACATACATATATATATATATATATATATATATATATATATATATATATCACCACTGGATCACCACATACATGATACATGTGAGATTAATAGAGCTGAAATTGTTTAAGGTAGTCCACCACATAATGTTCCGCTTTCTTACAACCTCTTTGTTATTGGTTCCATGTCATGTGGCTTACCACGGCAGCGTGCGATTACGAGACAACCTCTATGATACGGGTTTGCTGGCTGAGGCATACATCCATGGGGATGCGATCTTCTGTCACACGGAACGTCATTCCTTTCGATGGCACCATAACCAATTTGTTCCCCACAGATCAAGAAATTAGATGACATCAGAATTAGCGATTCCAGGCCAAAAATTATCATCCACCCTTTGAATGTAGCCATCAATACAATCAATCAATAAATGGTCAAATTAATTTATGTGATAAAAAAGAATAATATATATTTTTTATATATATATTTGCAAAAATTAATTAATATATGTAAATATATATTGTAAGCTTCTTTCTTTAATTTGGTAAGGGTGGGTAGATGTTGTAATATATTTATAGGGAGAGTTTCTTCCTATAATTAAGACGTGCTTTTTCAACGTGAGGTTAGAATTAATTTACTTGTAGTTGGCATTTTAAGTTTAAGTTAAAATGAGATAGGTTGGAGAAACCAAAATCGTTTCAGTTGTTCTCCAAGTTATTGTTTAACTGTTTGTAAAGTCAAAATTTTCCTTAATTAATGAAACAAATAACTAATAATTAAGAAACAAAAAAAGTAGTTATTATTGCAATAGCTAACAAAATAATAATATTTATTTATTTGTTATAGTTTGATTCACACTATTGCACATATTCTTTAATAATATGCTAAGTTCTATATTTTCAAAGTGAAAAAGCAAATGGAGTAATTAATTGGGTGCATTTGGCCCTCTCCAAACTCTGTAATGAAAAGAATCTTGTACATTGAGTTACTCTTATTATTTTGGTTCATTAATATGTACAATATATATTTATATATATATATATATCACACGATTTGTGGGAGTGCCTCTATCAACTACGCTATTATCAATTACGCTATTGTAACGGGTCGGGTTCTACACTATTCGGCCCAACAACTTAAGTAATT